GTCAGAATTACACTACAGTTGGGTACTATTTCCTATGTTTCCTGGTCCATTATACTAGATATATTTTTGTGAAATATTTTCTGAAATATTTTTGTCTTTGTAAATGAACTAATGCTATATATTTGGTTCATGTGCTTCAGATCATAGTGAGCCTCAAAGAGTGAGGGCATCTGGGACACTCCTCATTCTAGCATGAACAGGCAGTGGCTCAGAGTGATTACTAAAACCTCAGAGTTGAATAGTGGAGGAGCTGGAACTAGGACTTGGGCTTTGGGGCTCTTTTCATACTTCTTATATCCATCATCCCGATTTATAGGACATGTAGTCTGTAAGGCGTATGAAGAACATCTAAAATACAGCAGGTTGAAGAATAGGAAATAGAGAACTATAAGGAAGAAATAATACACAAACCAAGAAGAGCTCATTCATATAGTGAACAAATAAGTAGTGATAGCTCAGAACTCTGGACTAAGGAACTCTGTGACATGAGACCCACTGATGCGATATAACGAGTATCGTTTCATAAAGTTGTAAGATTTTAAACCTGTGACTTTTATAGGTAATATTGCACAGGGCAAAGCCATGTTTATTTGAGTAAATAATGAATCAACTTAAAGAAAAATATTAAGACTAGTAGTATCAGTAGTATGCAAACATAGCAAAAAAAAATGAAAGTGATATTGTAAATGACTGGTATTTAGGAAGGCTTTTTGAAAGCAAGGAGATGTGGCAAAGCTCTGTCTCCATCCTCATGTCAGGGCCCACAGTCTAGAGACCAAGTCTAAACAATGACAGAGTTGAGACTGACATGGATTGTCTAGGAGGATCTGATCCACGGGAGAGCTGAATGGGATTATGCTTCTGAAAGTTAAAGGTACTGGCTCTTGTTCAGTTAAAAATTAGACATAGAAGAGAAGAAGAAGGAATTGCCTTTTCTGGGATTGGTATCTAGTACTGCCAAAGTGGAAAATAGATCCTTCTTAAAAAAGTAAAGATATTAACTGAGGTGTGCCTTTGGGTATCAATGATCTTAAAGGAGTAGGGATGCTTCTGTCTGACAAAAGAAGCTAAAGGCAGTTTCCCCAGTCCAGAACTATCAACCTTAGCTCTGATAAGTATCTCAGGTAGCACCAATTCTGAGTTCTGCTGTGTTTCTGGAAGGATCTAAAGTTACTCTGGCTTGCTACTCTTTGGTTGGTGACATGACAAGAGTATCACAATCAGCAAACATCTGAAGTTTCATTAGAAGAGCTGAGATCCTGCTGGGGCATAGACAAGAGCTGGTGAACATATTTATCACCTGTATTAACAGAAGATCATGGGCAGTCATGAACTCATTCAGTTGAAATTTATAAGTTTCTTCTGTGTGCCAAACATTTTCTGCTCAAGATTGAAAGATGAATAAGATGTAGTCTCCCACCTTCAAGGTGTACAATCTAGAGACATATTAAGTAACTACTGTAATACAAATGATAGATGTCATAATGGAATTATACCCAGTATGCTATGGGGGGATGAGTAGGCACAAATGGTTTTGCCTTAGAGAAGCTGTCCTTCGAACTGGGCCTTGAAGGCTGAAGAGGAGGAATTGTCAGGCAGTGGGAACAGCATATACAAGGACAAGGACAAGGACAAGAATTTCTCAAGGACATATTTGAGGAAGTAGAGTTTATGAATGAGAATAGAGGTGAATTTAATGCAGAGTAATAGTTAACTCGGTAGATATTTATTGATCATTACTATGTACGAAACACAGAGGAACATAGAGGAGGGTCTTCAATAAGCCTTCCTTTCAAGGAACTTAGAGTCTTTTAAAGGAGGAGCACAGTGTACAAAAATTGCCGCCAGATTTGAAGAAAATTTCTAAGAGAATTTCAGAGGATTAATGATTTCTTTTTGGAGGAAATAATGGCTGAAAAATAATGATACTTCTTTAAAGCTTGAAAATGCTGGACCCATCGTCTCACTGTCCTCCACTCTGTATCAGGTACAGAAGAGCATTCTTAAAGAGGGAGCTTGTTTTGCAACAAAATTCTCATCAAAAGAATGTGGTTTTCTGTTCAGCTATTCCACTTCTAACTCCAGAAACATCACTGTGACTAAATTACCATTTTATGGATGGACCATAAAAGAAAAATTGTTGGAGTTCATTTCCTTAACCCTGCAGATATGCCCTAAAATATTTATTCCTAGATGTTTTTTAAAAAATGAAAATAACTTTTGCTCCCTGATTTATTTTAGTGCTCACTTAAGTTTAACTTAACCAGTGATTAATTTCAATGACTAATTTCAATGATTGTTCCATACTGGTAGAGTTTATACCTCATATGTCCTTGGTAAATATTTGTCTATTAATTAGAGTAATGTGGTATAAGGTGGTAGGCAACCCTAAAGTATTTGCAACACAAAGGCTGTTTTTAGCAGAGAGTTTTGCTAGAGATGAATTGCTTCAAAAACAGCAGGAGGAGAAATAAGATAAAGCATTTTTATGGAATCAAAATATAATTATAAATTTTGTACTTAAAAATCTCTAAAGGACAATTCTTCCCTCTTTCCTTCCTGGATTCTCCCTCCCCCTAATCCTTCTGATTGAGAGAATTTAATTTTGGTCAAACTAACCCAACAAGATGAATATAAGCAGGTTCACTGTAGGATAGGAATATCCAGCCTTAGAGAAGCCTATGGCTTTCAAATAAAAGAAAAATATAAGTGACCTTACCTTTGAAATGTTCATGCCAAAGCAAAGAAGAGCAGCAACAAAAACTACCTATTCAACAGGTCAGTCAGGAAAACCATTCACAAAGAGTCAGTGTTTTTGAAAAATGTCATCCTTTTAATCCCTCCCCTACTTTCTTTTAAATTCCAAGTGGCTCATGATCCAGACTCTCTCTTAGGGGATTACTGAACCAAAGCGCAGCAGACTGGAAAGAACTCTTTCTGCTCTTTTCAATGTCAGCCATTTTCTTTCAATGTTACAATATTTGACCAAGGTACATCTTCAAGTTCTTTCCCCTAACATCTTTTATTTTTCCTGGAGTTTTTTCTAAATGCTTTATTTAATTAAAGTGTTGTCACTCGATGATTCAAAGATGAGGAATAAGGTAATTTCTTTCTGCCACAGCAATAGCCATATGATTTGAAGGGCTCATGGTCTCCAAAAGAAGTTGCTCAGCATGATGGTTAAGAGTGTGGGTTCTGCAGCCAGCCCAACTGAGTTCTTATCCCAACTCCCCACTGCAGGACTTTGGGCAATCATTCAACTTCTTTGTGCCTCAGCTTCCTTGTTGGTAAAATGGGGGTGACAATACCAACCTTGTGGAATTTGTTGAAAAGATTAAATGAGTAACATGGAAGGACACTTAGAACAGTAAATAAAACATGGTGAGGACTTAGGAATTTTTGTTATTTTACTATTTATATTATCAAAAACAGCTGATAAAGAATAGCAAGGAGTTTGTACATAGATGGAGTGAGCTGGTGGAAAGTGTGTGCTAGATGGTGGACATACTGCACATGAAAGAAAGAGGTGACAACTGGTGTCCACGACCTGAGAATCTGAGTGGCAACACTGGCACGAACTACACAGAGATAGGGAAGAAGCTTGGGAGCCTAGCAAAGCCCTGCTTATCCCCATGGAGAGTTCCAGCAGATTGAAAAAAAAAATTTCCACGGTTGGAGAAAGGGAGGACACCAGAACCTTCAAGAGTAATCACAGGATTCAGAAGTAGACATTATGTGGTGAGCACATTTTAGAGCATCCATGGGGAAAGAATTACTGGACAAAAATAATGGGTATGGGAAAATTTAAGTCAAGACAAGATGGGTGAATCATCTAGCTGGGGATTTTAATTCTTTGCTTAAAGAAGACAGCACAACGTGGGAAGAAAGTTGATATGCACATACTAGGAAATGGTAATGTCATTATTCATAATAATAACAGTGGCTTAGCAATGATGATGATGATCATTTTTTAATTGTACCACCAAATTCGATGAGACTTTCATTAAATCTGTGATGTAGGTAGAAATATTAAAAGTTGTGCAAAAGATTAAATGAAGATCTGTGCTTCCTTTTTATGTTTCGTGTTCTGACAAGCTGTGTGTCTTGTTTCCATAACCCCACATTAGGCAAATAAGAATGACATAATGTTTCATAAATGAAAAGTTGATGGATGTCATAATTAGAATATAATTAAAATAACTTGTTTTAGTTGGTAGTAGTTCAAAAGGGAATAAACAAGGTCAAAGAGTGCTACTCTTCAGAGCTCTGCTCATTAATGCAAATTTACATGGTGAAATTCTGTGGAAAGTTGTTCCTTGAACGGAATTTTAGAGTACTGAGGTAATTAATACCTGATGAGGATCCAGAAGAATGCATATACCATTGACCTGGGCTGTCGAAAATAACTGACCAGAGCAGTACTTTCCACCCACTTTGGCTAATACTATTTCAGTTTTGTTAGTATATTTTCCTTCTTGCTAGTGTTCTCATTTAAGCATCATTGATCTATAAACATGTCTCTTCCCACTGCTATTTAACAACAGATTTTGAGTTCCACAGGAAGGCAGGGCTTCTTTGAACATTAAAACACAAGCTAATGTATTATCTACGAATCAAAAAAAGTTATAGTACAAATAAATATAATTTTCCACATCTTCAGTGATCTTTTCTTTGCTGTCCCATAGTGGATTTTGTCTCTTTTCTTCCTTCTACTTGTTTCCTCTGCCCCGTCTTATTCTATCACTTTCTTTCCAGTTTAGTCATTTATTTCTTATTCCCCTCTCCTGTTACCTCCTTCTACTTAAAAAAAAAACGAATATATGTATTAATAAGATTATTCAGATTTTTTTAGATTACCCACTCTCTGAACCTTGAAATCATGAGTGTCTCCTTCTCCATAGCTCCTTCACCCAATCAGTCTACCTTAGAATTGTCTCTCCTGTTTGTCCCTTCTTTGCATTTCCCTAATACCATTCTACCTCAAGCATTCAATGTATCTCATCTGGACAGTCATAGTAGCCATTAATAGATCTCTTTATCTCCTATGATAACTTCCCTTCAAACATATTCTACAATGTTGCAGCCAGAATTTATCTTCTAAATATACAGTTCTGATAAGGTGCAAAAACTTTCAGATATTTATCATTACATAGACTGTAAACACTTTAGATTGGTATTCATTCACTTGTTCATTCAAGAAATATTTATAGAGATCCTATTATATGCTAAAAACTGATTCTGTTGGAAAAACCATGGTGAACAAGACAGACAAGTTTCCTGCTTTCATGGAGCTCACAGACTAGTGGAAGGGAAATGAAAATAAACAAGCTGAAGAATAAGTTTCAACTCATGAAAGTAAAACACATTAATGAACAGAGTATGACTGGAGGCCGGGGGAAGAGATTGCTTAATTGGGTAACAAGGAGTTGTCCCCTGAGAGATGCCATTTGAGCTGAGAGGTCAATAGTGAGGAAACATCTTCCAGAAGAATTGGGGAAAGAGCAACCAGGTGTCACCAAATTCCTAGAGCTGGAACAGGAGTGAATTTGCTGAGTTCACGAAACAAACGAAGCCAGTGTGTTGGATCACAGCAGGTCCAGGGAAAAGTAGAGAAAATTTAGCCAGAGACAAGCAAGGACCAAATCATGGGGTCCTGAAGACCGTGGCAAGGTGTTACAATTCTAAGGGCTATACGAACCCACTGGACAATTTTAAATGTGGAAAGGATGTGATATAACTTACATTTTTTTATATTCTTATTTTTTTGAAGTGCAGTTGATTAACAGTGTTAGTTTCAAGTGTATAGCAAAGCAATTCACTTAAAAATATACATACACACATATATATTTTTCAGATTCTTTTCCATTACAGCTAACTACAGAAAATTGAAAGTAGGTCTTTGTTGTTTATCTATTTTAATTTACATTTTAAAAGAAAAGTCCTCCATTTGCTGTGTCTAACCTTTGAGTTCTCTTCCCTTCACATGTGCTATTCTGTTCCTTATGTCCACCCACCCCTGTTTTGCTCACAACATCTCCTCTGCCTAAAATGTCCTCTCTTCCTCTGTATTTTTAACCTCCTATTCCCCAGCAGCTAGAATTTCCATTTCTGGAAACCTTTCAGTGCTCTGCTCTAATGCCTTTTCCTTCCTTTAAAGGTTAATTCCTTTCACAATCCCACCCCAGTTAGCAACTCTCTTGAAGTCTCCTATACAGCTTTGTTGCTGTCTATTTTGTTGTATTGTTCACGTTCTATTTTCTGTTCTGGCTATTTGTGCCAATGGCCTTGTCCTTCTTTCTGCCTCAGCTGCCCACTCTTATACTCAGGCTCTGTATCTTGCCATTACCAAGAGCTTCAATTTCTCCATAATCTAAATTTTAGTCATCTAACTCTTCAACTTCCACCACTTGTCCTTCGAGCTCACTGTCTTAGTACC